GCCAGCCTTCCTCCCTCCTCCCCCCACAGCTTTTGCACGCGACCACAGGCTCCTAGCCCCAATTGTGGCCCTGCCTCCCAGTCACTCCCCCGCCTCTGCCAGGCTTCCATCCGGCACCCAGCCGGGAATTCAGAAAATACCGGACATTGCACTTGTCTGGTATTTTCTGAATTTTTCTACTGGACAGACGGTGCAAATACCAGACTGTCCGGTAGAAAACCAGACACCTGGCAACCCTTACCTGATCCAACATGCGCGTGTGCCCCTTATGGGCCAAGGTTGCTGCCATACGGCCGTAGACATCTGCACTACAGCACCTGGTGTAGAGATCCTAGAGGGTGCATTCCTCTCCCCACACCTCTAAGAGATCCAGGATCTCTGCACCAATCCACGATGGTGCCCCCTTTCTCCCCTAGCCAGGGGCTTCCAGAGGTGGGTGCTGGCATGCTTGCAGCTGTTGGAGGTTAGAAGGGAGCGCCGGGGTAACTCATGCAAGGCAGAGCAGGGTGCTGCTACGTGGCATAGGGCTAGCAGGGCCCGTGTCGTGCCACAAGCACAAGGTTTAAACTCTGCAGGAGAAGGGAACTACAGAGTTCTGAGGGTTATGGACAAAGTGGCCATCGAGGCAGCTGTGAGAAGCCCTGGAGGCCAATTATTTCAAAATAAGCACAGCTGACTGTCCACACTCACCCTATTTCGAAATAGCAATTTCGAAGTAGGCATTATTCCTTGTAGAATGAGGGGTTATTATTTCGTTATAGCAAGCCCATTATTCAAAATAATTTGCTTGCTGTGCTGATGCTCACCTTGTTATTTTGAAATAACGTGAGTAGTGCAGATATGCCCTCTGATCCTTTACAGAAAGGAGATTAAAACCCCTCCCATAAGACACTGGAGCAGAAGGGAGAATACCTCCCTAACCCCCAACAAAAGGCATAAACTGGAAATGAGCACCAGGGTTGTTGAGCCCTTTCCCTCTTCCATCACAAGCAAACTGTCAGAGAACTGCATTCATAAATTTGTTCAGATCTCTCATAAAACTAATTCCCCCAAGGCTTGTGAAAGAGAGGAGTCATTTTCCAGGATAGGTTTTAGACTGTTGATAATGTGTTGGAAGGGTTTATGTTGTGAGCTGTAGGTGATGACAAGTGGTATCCTACTGTTTTTTTCCTGCGCCTGTCTTGAAGTAGCTGATGTCTGGGCACTCTTCTGGCTCTGTCAATCTGTTTTTTCAACTTCTCCAGGTGGGGATTTTAGTTTTAAGAATGCTCTATATAGATCCTGTAGGTATAATCTCTACAAGACACTTTGTTGTTTTTTAAAGTTTTTTCCAGTTACAGATTAACTAAGCTACCCCTCCGAAGCTGTTGTAGGACTCAGGAGACATTATTCACAATAGAGGAGTATTCCTAATGGAAAGACAAAGAAGCAGCAGCAGAACACTGGAGCTCTTTTCAGTTCAATTCTCTTCAGATTCTCCTTACTCTTTTCTTGCTTTCTCCTCCCCTCTCTCATGTAGTTTGGCCACTAATTAAATAACTTAAGTAGTGAGGAAAAAAAACAATTTTATTAGCCTAGAAACAGTTGCTTAGGTGACAGTAATCCTTAGTATACCAGGAAATGTTCAGTCAAGACATCATATATATAGTAGCCCAGTGTCTGAGAGTCTGTAACGCCGAAATGCTGGCTGTTCCCTCTGGGGGGGCGTTGTTGCCTGGAATGCTGGCTATTCCCTTTGGGCAGCGCTGTTGCTTGAAACACTGGCTGTTCCCTCTGGGCGGTGCTGTTTCTGAAATGCTGGCTGTTCCCTCCAAGCAGCCCGTGCTGCATGGGGAGTGCGGGGCCCAAACGGCCGCTTGCTCCCACGTGGCGGCCTGCCTGAGCGGCGCAGAAGTCAGCCAAGTGCCACGGCAGGAGGGGGATGGGGGCAGCGCGATGATGTGCGGTGTGACAGTGGCTCCAGGCCCTGCCCCTTGCCCATGAATGTCACCAACCCGCCCCCCTCTGCCTCCCGCCATGGCACTCAGCTGACTTCTGCACCGCTTAGCTGGGCCACCGCATGGGAGCAAGTGGCGCAAGCAGCTGTTTGGGCTCCACGCTCCCCATGCAGCACGGGGAGCTTGGAGCCCAAAAGGCCATTTGGACTCTGCGGTCCCCCGAGTGAGAGGAAAGAGGGGGAGGAGAGCTGAGGAGGGGGGGAGGCAGTAGGAGGAGGAGGAGAGAGAGAGGGAGACGGAGACGGAACGAGAGACCGGAAGCTCAGGAGAGAAGACCGACGTGGAGGAGAGACCTGAAAATCCCGTCTTATGACTGGTTCAGCCAAAAACAAATGTCAAAAGAATAATGTGTATAACCAGCAACAAAAAGACAGAAATGTACATTGCAGTGTAAGACAGTTCAAAGATATTTGGAAATGGGACTCCATGCTTTTAGATTCTTTCTTTTTGTTAAAATCTGTCAAGAATATGGTCACTTTGGGGAATAATACTTAACACAAGGCATTGGCCGATATGCTCCATTTGGATCAGGGGTGGGGAACCTTTTTTGCGTCAGGGGCCGCTGACCCACAGAAAAATCAAATATCACAGGGGCTGCAAGTGAGAAGCAAAAAAACCAACCAACCAACCAACCAACCAACCAAACAAAAATAACAAACAACAAAATCAGTCAAGGGCTGCAAATAAGAAGCAAACAAACAAACAAAAAACCCTCACTGATGTGGTCCTTGACTGAGAAGAGGGTAGGAGGGCTGGATTGCCAGCATGGGAGCTCTGAGCTGTGGGAGCCAGATCCAAGCCAGATCCTCACCCCTGATTTAGAACACTGACATTTCAAAAGCACAATTTTGCACATGTATACCCTGCAAGCACACAGAATATGACTTCATGCAACCAGACACGCACAAGACTGCAGCTCTGACAATCTGGCTCTTTGTGATTATTTTTTTAGAATTATGGTTTCTTCTTTTGGAATTATTTTTATTTAATGTGTAACACTTACGTACTGTCATACTCCAAATTTTAACCTTCCTTCCATCTTATGCCATCCACTGCAGTCAATGAGAGGCCAGAATT